GGGGGTTGATGAAACTGCCCAAAGAGCAGGAGGGGGGAAGTGTTCAGCTTTATTTGCCGGTTAGTTAACAGGAGATCATTTTCTCACCTGCTCATACACTTCTACTCCACCAGACTGATAACTCTCTCATTCAACAAAGTGGCTGTTCTTGCTGGAGGAAACTCACTTTCAACCCAAGAACAGTTATATGCAGAAGTTCTGATTCCAAAGGAAGCCCTAGGGGGCTATTAAACGCACACCATCCAGACCCCTGCCCCAGCGCCCTCTGTCCCACGGTTCCAGGCAGGCCTGTGATCCCTCAGCACCCCAGTTTGGGGGACAGACCAAATCGGAGTGGGAGTAGTCGTGGAGGTTTCCCATTTAGTCTGCAGCTGGGGGAGGTTTTGAGTAAGGAGTGAGGCAGAGTCAGTTTGGAAGCTCGGTGGGACTTGGCCCAGCAGAGAAGATCCTACATCCCTGCAGTGCCGGGCGGTCGCTTTCCTTTCAAGCCAAGGGGAGGGGATTACCCGGGATTTGGGTTTGGGAGCCCAGAGCGCAGAAAGCGCTTTGATTTACGAGCAGAGGCTGAGCTGCCGTCGCCATCAGTGAGGGTGACTCACTTGGAGTTTGGGTGGGAGGTGGATCCGGAGAGGGGACTAAACCAGGCAACTTGGCTAGGGGCGGGGGAGGCCTGAAGAAAGCGCCCAGCTCTGCAGGGGCCTGCGAGCGGCGCCCGGCTCCCCACCCTCTGTCCCAGCCTTCGGAGCACAGGGACCCGCGGCCTCTAGCGGCACCCGGGTAGGTGGCGCGGGGTGGAAGGGTGCATGCACGTCGTGGGGCGCGTTTTGTTTTGGTTACCCGGAGGCAAAGCGCCGACACTGCGCCTTCCTCCTATCCTCCTAAGGACTGGCAAGAGCCACCAACGACGCCCCGCTGCGGGCTCAGGAGTGCGCGGGGTGGTCACCTTCACCTAGGTTTCTCCCCTGAGCAGAACCCTTGAGCTACTTTTGAATTGCATCTCCTATTCCCAAGGGTCTGCAGACACCATCTCATTTAGCCGACCTTCTTACTTTACCTAACAGCCCCAGCACCACGCACAATATCTGACTCGGGAGAACGCAGGAAAGTGGAAAAGCTGCCATCACAAGGTACCAACTCGACAGAGTGGGCACGCAAGGAGGTGCTGAGTTGATAGCGCCCCGCTCTTCTCTGGCGGTCGCCTTAAACGACCCCATCCACCACCCCACACAGCTCTGCAGTGGCCAAGACCCAGGAAGCAGCCCTCAACCCGGCGGAAACCCGACCCGCAGGAGTTCAGAATCAGGTTTCAAAACACAGTAGGGCCGCGTCGCACCAGCACCCCACGTTGCCGCGGCCCCGAAGGGGTGAATGATTAACTCTGTCACGTCGAGTCTCCACGTCCCCCGACCCCTTCGGTGCCAACCCCTGCCCACACTGCCCTCCCTGCAGAGCAGCGACAGTGACCTCCAGCGCAGGCCTGGGAACGGGGGTGGGGGGTGGCGGCAGCGGAGCCCCGGGGGCTCGGGAGCGCGCGCGCGCGCGCAGGGCCGGGAGCGACCCCGTGGAGGTGCAGACCCCGGCCGGCGCCAGCCCGGGGCGGCAGCGAGCGTCTTCCCGGCGCCCACCCGCGCTCCCTTGGCTCGGCCTGAACCGGGGAGAGTGGCAACTTCAAAGCCAGCAGCAGGATGGGGGTGGGAAACCGGGCAGCAGTGACCAGCCGAGGTGGGGGTGGGGACTGGGGCACAGGCGGGCGACCAGAAACTTGGGGGCGGGGGGGAGGGTAAGAAAGGAGGTTCCCCCGCCCCTTGCCACCAGCGCCCCCCGCCCCGGTCGAGGAAAGAGGTGGGGGTCGGGAGAGAGGTGGGGGCAGGGAGAGGTGGGCAGCCGGACCAGGCCGGTGGGGAAGGTAAGCGCCATGTTTGCAGGCACTTGGAGGAACAGAAAGCTGGGAAGGGGGTGGGGGCGAGGCCGGAGGAGGAGGAGGAAAGTTGGCGCTCACCTTTTGGACAGGGTCTCCGAGGGGTTCCGGTCGCGCTGCCGGCGGTTCTTGAACCAGTTGCTGACCTGGGTGAGCGAGAGGCCGGTGATCTTGGCCAGGTGCCGCTTCTCCGCGGGCGACGGGTAGCGATTCTGCTTGTAGAGCTCCTTGAGCGCGTTGCGCGACTTCTCCTTGAAACAATACACCGTCTCCTCGCCGTCCCAGATGGTGCGGGGCAGGGGGAATTTCCTGCGCAGCCGGTACTTGTCCACGGCGCCCAGCGGCCGGCCGCGCGCTCGCTCGGCCTCGGTGTAGCGCGCCTTGTACCAGAGCTGCTGCAGCAGCGGGTGGTTGGCCGACTCGAAGCTGTGGCTCTCGAGGATGCTGTAGAGCTCGGGGTAGATGCCCTGGTGGAAGGCCACCAGCGCCCGCGCCTTCAGCAGGCTCTCGTTGCCACGTAGCAGGTCGCTCTGGGGCAGGGACCACAGGAACCGGGCCAGGCGGTCCAGGTTGCCCCCCTGCTGCAGCGCCTCGCACACGCAGGCGACATGGTCGGGCGAGAAGGCCAGCGGGGTCTGCGCGGCGGCGGCGGCGTGGTGCCTGCCCACAAGTTCCGAGTGGAGTTGTACCTGATCCGCCGCTGCCCCTTCCTCTCCGCTCAGCCTGGCGGCGGCGGCCACCACCGCGGCGTCCCCCGGCTCCAGGGGGAAGGAGGCTGGAGCCGGGGGGCTCAGCCCCGTCGCCGCGCCCCCCGCCACTTCGCGGGGCGCCTCCTGCCCTTCCGAGGCGCTTTCCATCCCATTCTCCTGCTTGATGTCCGCCGCACTTGCAATCTGCCCGGTGGGGGAGGAAGAGGACATTTTTGGTTGTTTATTTTCCTCCCTCCCTCACTCCCTCGCACTCTTTTCCTCTTTCTTTCCCCCTCTCGTACTCCTCCTGCTGCGTCTCCCTCCCCCTCCCCCCCTCCGGAAAGCCCACTCCCTCCCTCCCGGTTTCGGCTGGATCTGGCCGATCAGGTTTCCCCCCGGCCACGCAGTCACCATTAAGATAGCAGCTAGAGCAAAGTAGTGTAAACGGATAGCTGCTTTCGGCCGTTTCCCCAACGTGACTCCTCGGGTGGCTGCACACTATATGGCACAGGCGGCCGGGCCGGCCCGGCCGAGCCACCTCATTGGCTACTTCGCGCTGAGAGGGAGGAGGAGACACCGCTTGTATCCCTGTCGATCACCCTCCTCCTACTCCACCCCTTGCCTTTCCCTCTCCTCCTGACCCCCGGGCACTTCTACCTGCAGGAAACACCGACATTCTTTTCAGGCTGCGCTCCTGGGCGGGAAATTACTCAAAGTGGCCTGAAAACTGGACAACAGATTCTTTCAAAAAGAAGCCCTGCCATTTCAGAGAGAATATTCGTGGTGTGGTGTCCCAGCCCTGGACTAAACCTTTAGCAAATAGACTACCCTCAGCATCCACTTGACAAAACCTCCAAGAAGCTTCTCCGGTGTTTTCCCAACACCATCACACATTCGCCCCTCCCGACCCCCCCAGATGTCTCTATCCAGGGGTTTATACGTAGGGGTCACTAATAAGATAGCATCAAGAGATGTTCTAGGGGGAAGCATTTACTGTAAATTAAAAGACCCAAAGGGGTCAAATGCCTGAAACCCTCCAGATTGTATAAATGGCCTGCTGTGAAGCAAAACAAACCAAAACACCTTTAAAAAATGCAATTAGAACTTTTGAGTTGCCTGGAGAACAAGCAGCTCAGCGGAGTTGCTAATAATGTAACTAAACATGTAGAGATTATTAAACCATAGATTTTTTCATGGATGAATAGAGGGGAAGGAATTCAAGCTTTAGATTAAAATAAAGGTATGGAAATTTAAATCTTCCACATGAACATGTAAAATGTATGTGTATGACTACTTTTACTAGAAGATGATATTCCAGGCAGAAACACCATCTGTAGGTGCAGGTGTCTTCCAGATCAATCGGGATGAGCAGCCCTTTCCCACGACCAGGCATATCTTGGAAGATGGCCCCCTGGTTTGAGGCTGAAGTGCCTGGGGGTGGAGTTTGCAGCCATTCCTTCTTGTTTGTGTAAGATCTTAACTCACTTAAGGAAGAGCCTATCTCTGCTTCTCTGGGTCTGCCTACTGGTGCTCTTGCTCAAAAGCCAACATTTTAAGGACATCATTCTAACCTTTACTTCAAGGTAGCCTTCTGTTGTTTTTGGCTTCCCAATTACTCATGGCAGCCGTCTACTTCAGCATATTAGAAAGCAGCTGCGGCGGTCACCTGCTGTCATGATCAGCTTGGTGAGCTGTGTGTGTGTGTGTGTGTGTGTGTGTGTGTGTGTGTGTACAGGTTTACTTTTACTGCTGGTCAAACAAGAGGTCACTTGATACTGGAGTTAGCTTGTTTTAATATTGTCTTAATATAAGGAAGTCAGCGGTGACATCTCTGGTAGATTCAAAATTCCTAATCATTGAAATCCTGGGAATCCTGCTGGTGTATTGGTTACAAGTTGGGCTGCTAACTGCAAGGTCAGCAGTTTGAAACCATCAGCTTCTCTGAGAACGAGACATGAGACTCTGTACTCATGGAAAGGGTTGCAGTCTTGGAAACCCACAGCGGCAGTTCTACCCTGCCCTACAGGGTCACTCTGAGTTGGAATTGATGAGATGACAATGAGTTTGGTGAATCATCAAAAAGACCACATACTTCCAACTGATTGGAAACATCCATTTCCAACAAGTTTCTGGACAATGCCTGAGATTTATGACTTCATTGAGAATTACTTACAGAAAATTACGTACATTTAAGAATTTACATTTACTGAAAAATGACAGAGATAGCACAGAGTTCCTACGTACTCTCCGCCTAGTCTCCTCTCATGCTAGCATCTTTCCTTATTATGGAACATTTATAAAAAGCAGTTCACATTGGTAAGTTACTCTTAATTAATCTCTGGACTTCATTTCTTATACTTTTGATACGATTGAGAGGCTAGTCCCTAAAAAAAGACCCCATGCTTGGTAGAGAGTCAGCAAAAAAGAGGAAGCCCCTCAACAAGATGGATTGACCACAGTGACTGGAACAATGGGCTCAACCATAGCAATAATGGTGAAGATGGTGCAGCACCACGCCATGTTCCATTCTGCTGTGCAGAGGGGCACTTCGTGTCAGAAATGACTCGGGGGCACCTGGCAACAACAATACTAACACCAACAGACTTTGTTCAGATTTCACCAATTTTTCCAATGTTTCCTTTTTCTATTCCACAATCCAATCAAGATATCACATTGCATATGATTTCCTAAAATTTTAGAACATATTTGTCAGAGCAAAGTAAACAGGACGGAGTGCAGTAGAGTAGAAAGGATGTGGATTTAGAGATCAGCTAGGTAGATAAAGATTTAATCCTAGCTGCTTGACTATTACTAAAAGTGGTCAGACTTCTTGTGAGGATTAAGTGTGTTGACGTTTCAAAAGCACCCGGTGCATAATGAATGCCAATAGATGTTTATTTTCTTCCTTATATTAGTGCAAAGCAGGAGACTTTTAATTTGTATATGCCTAATGGAATTCTTTTTTCTGTAAACCCATTGCTGTTCAGTTGCTTTTGACTCGTCTCAACCTTATAGGTAGAGAACTGTCACCCAGGGTCCCCAAGGCTGTAAATCTTTTCAGAAGCAGATGGCCAAGCAGGCATCTTTGTCCCATAGTGCAGCTAATAGGTTTGAACTGCTAACCTTTAGGTTAGTAGCTAAGTACTTTAACCACTGTCCTGGCAGGGCTCCTCCTTTTGCTACAGGATGCCAATCAAAACCTACTACCTATGAACAGATTCTGACTCAGTGACCCTATGTGTCTCCTAAGCTATAGATGGAGTCTAATGGCATGATGGTTACATGTGGACTGCCAACATCAACTCCAACATTTTGAAACTACCAGCTCTCCATGGGAGAAAGATGAGGCTTTCTATTCCCATAAAGAGTTAAGTCTTGAAAAACCACAGGGGCAGTTCACTCTGGCCTGTAGAATTGCTGAGTCAGAATCGACTCAATGGCAATGCATTTTTTTTGAGAGGCTTTAGATTTTTATAGGAGCAGAGAGCCTCCTCTTTCTCCCAAGGAGTGGCTGGTGGGTTTGAACCTCGGACCCTGCAGTTAACAATCTAATGCTTACCCAACAGCACAAGTAGGAGCTCCTGTGCTATAAGAGGCTATGCAAGGTCAGACCATTGGAGTCTTCTTTAGGTTTATAATCAATCAAATATAGCACATAGCTTTGGAAAATCATTTATTTTATTTCTACATGTCTTCTCTATATTGCTTCCAGAGCACCAAGTTCAACAGAGTAGACAGAAGCAGCAGTGGCCTTCTGTGACATTACTAGTCTATATCTACATTTCTATTCCATAGATCCAAAGAAGATCCCTGTAGGATCAAAAGTGAAATCCAACACTGGGCTCCAGATTCCTTTAGTAGACTGAGCCTTGGAGCGCATTCTGCCTGCAGTCCAAAGTCGACCAGGAGTCTTCTTTTCAAACATGGCCAGCTACGTTGGAATGGGAACGTTGGAGAGGGGCTAGAATACATCTCAGAGTACTGCTTTTGACGGTTTGTGAAGTTGAGAAATCCTTCTTCCTATGTCTATAATTTATACTCACTGAGTCTGCCGTGGTGATAGGCTGTCTAAGGCTGTGCAGTGATTTGGGAAGACAGAGCAGAGTCTAGGATTGGGTGAGAGGGAAGAGGCTCAGAAAACCAAGTTCCTTCTTTAGGTTATTTTTCCCTCCAGTCTGAAGATCATGATAAGAATATGAAAATCCTTTGGTATTTTAGTACATTGAAGAAAATTCCTGCTCAGGAAAAAAAGAAAGAAAAAGGTTCCCTTTGCTTGTGCTTCAATATATATAAAAAAATTTTTTTTTGCCACCATGAGTGGTGATTTCCCTTTTTAAGGCCAACCTTGACTGTCTGAAAGAAAGAGGCCAAGCCCTTATCCCCAAATCTTGGTGCGTCCTTTCGAGTTTAGAAAATGTATGCACCTATTAGAGTCCCAGTCATCTTCTAGGCAGAGAAGACACTCCATTGTTATCTAGTGACTGATACATGGATTGTTATCTAGTGACTGATGGTTGACGATGAGACATAGTGAACCATTCTAAAGGCTTATCCATTTGTCAACATTGATTGAGTCCTGATTAAGTATAAGGCATTGAATCAGATACTAAAAGTTAGAGAGGCAAATATAGTGGAGTCCTTGTTCCTGAAAAGCTTAAAATCTAGTTGGGGGTCGTAAAGCATATTCATAAATAAGTACAAAATAGACATGGGTGTGTGGAGGAGAGAGAGCCTCATCTTGAGGAGAGGAGGGCAATGGGAAGTGAATTTTCAGTTGGGCCTTGAAAGAGAAAAAAATATGGGAGGACAGGAATGGAAGTTCATTGGAGGCAGAGGGAACAAAATGAGCAAAGCATGGAGTCATAAAAGTGACAGATATTTCTGAAATATTGAATAATTCAGTTTGTCTCCAGGGTGGGTTTTATGTAAGTGTGTGGTAGGAAATGAGTTTAAAAGGAAACAAATTATGAAGACTTTTCAATGACATGCTGTGGTGGACACAGCAGTACATGTATAGTGGCTACACTGGTGCCTCCTATTATGGCCACAGTTAATCGGTCATCATGGAGTCCAAGCCAATCAGAATCCTCTTTTCACTTGAACGAGAGAAAGAGTTCATCTCTGACTGGTGGAAGCAGCCTTGGATACAACAACTGGGACTCTCCATGACCAAGTTATTTGCCTGTAGATACTGATTGGCAGTAGTTGGGAAAGGAGTGATCAAGGTGAAT